AATTTCAGACCAACCTAGGCTTCAAAAAGAGACCCTATCTCAAAACACTCAATCCAGAGCTGGAAAAATGGCTCAATGGTTAAGTGCACACATGCCTTTCCCAGAGAACATGAGGTCAGCTGCCATATCTGTTTTAGGCAGTTAACAACTGCCTGTAACTCCAGCATCTGATGCCCTCTTCTGGCCGCCATAGACATTGCACTCACATGTGTAAACACACACATACATATGCACATGATTTAAAAAAAAAAAATCTAAAAACCTCAAACCAAACAAAAACCAAGAAACTGACCAATGCAGAGATACGTTTAACTGAAGAGAAAAGAAAATAGAACCGGCACTTAAAGGAGAAGCAAAAGAAGATGGAGAGTGTGTGATACAGGCAAACCTAACTGCAGAATAAATGGAGCACAGGCGCCAAAGAGAACCCGGGACAGAATAAGCATCTGCGAACATTCTCATAAAACCACAAGACTTCAAGAAAGGCGAAGGAATAGCATGCCCTCTAGGCTTAGGGAGAATCAAGTGCTAACAACGACAGAAGGCAGACTGCCAGCTGGTGTAGTAAAGAAACTAATTCAGTAGGTTCAAGAGTTTGAGAACAGCCTGGGAAAGAGACAGCGAGACAGCTCCATGGGTGCCAAACCTGACAACCTGAGTTCAATCTCCAGGACCACATGATATAAAGTGACTCCTTTCTTGCAAGTTATCCTCTGCCTTCCCCATGTGTGCCACGCATGCTTACCCCTTGCCGACATCACACATGTGCACGCACACACACACACACACACAGATAAATGTATTTTAAAAACTTTTAATAGGTTAATTTCCCCTAGGTGTGGTAGCATATACCTACAATCATAACACTCTACAATCACAACACTTAGGAGGCAGAGGCAGGGAATCAGGCATTTACAGTCAACCTCTGCTGTGTGATGAGTTCCAGAAGAGAGTACTAGAACTACCAAGCCCTCAGGGGAAGAACGCATGGTATAAAGTTCAGGGCCTCTGAAGTATGAAGTAAGCACCCCAGAGCACAGAGCCACCGTTGGATGCTGCCCTTAAAGATCCCAGGAGATTAGGAACAGATCTAGACCAACCTTCAGAGCATGATAATCTTTTTTCATTTACACTAACACAGATAGTATGAAAACAAGTGTTAGCTTAGCTACTACAGACTGAAAATTTTGACGAGGCAAAGGTTTTTTCTATCCACAGAAAGACATTGGAAACGGGCAGAACAAGAAGTCCCTAACTAGCCTTAGGCCATACTCAGGTCAGCCATGAACCTGTGCTTCACAGTCTAGGACACCAGACTCAGTCTAAGTCTGCTGCCTCCAGTGAGCACAGCTGTGTGTGTGTGTATGTGTGTGTGTGTATGTATGTATGTGGTATGTGGAGCAGTATGTGTGTATGTGATTGTGGTACACATGTATATGGTGTATGTGAATGTATGGTGTGTATATATATACGCACACCATATATATACATATAATGTATATGTATGTGCAGTGTGTGTATGTATATGTTTAGTATGTGTATAGATAGTGTATATGTATGTATAGTGTGTGTGGTATAATATGAGAAGGGTACGTGTGTAGTATATGTATAATGTATATGTGCTAATTATATAGTATATATGCTGATGTGGGTACACATACCAGAAGAGGCTGCCAAAAATCCTGTTGTATTGTTCTCCACTTTATATTCTTACAGGAAGATCTCACACGGAACCTAAACTAGGTTGGAAGCTAGCAAGCACCAGCAATCTTCCCATTTCTACCCACTGCAGCCCTGGGGTCACTAGGTACTCGTATGGCCATGCCCAGCTTTTTATGTGGGTGCCAGAAATTCAAACTCAGTTCCTCAGGCTTGAACAGCAGCCACTCTTACCCACTGAGCCATCTTCCCAGGTCCCAGTTCTCAGTCAATGAAATGTCTGCAAAGAGGCACTGGAAAGATGACTTAGCAGCTAAGAGCATGCACTGCTCTTAAAGAGGACCTGCATCCAATTCCTCACAGTCGGAAAGCAGCTCACAAGCTCCTGTACCACCAGCTCCAGGGGAAATGCTATGCCTCCAGCCACCAGAGGCTCCTGCAAACACATGAACACATAAATACATCCATACACACACACACACACACACACACACAGAGAGAGAGAGAGAGAGAGAGAGAGAGAGAGAGAGAGAGAGAGAGAGAGAGAGAGAGAGAGATTTATGTAATTAACTTTTTTATGTCTGCAAAGAATATAAGAGGAGAGACTGGTTTCATAACACATAGATATAAAAGCTTTTCGGAGCCTGCTTTTCCTCCCAGGAGGCTGAGATAGTGACTCAGTAGTGTCCCCGAATGGTGAGGAGGAAGCATGCGGATGAAGGGAAGCAGCTGTGCTGTGAAGCCCAAATGTCCTTAGGGAGATACACCGAAATGTGTGCGACCCTGTGACACCCGACAGGCACCATAGCACAAACCGTTACCTACATGTGTGATGGGATATGTATTTATACTGAAGTAATGACCCCCAATATAGGGTAGTTTATCTAGGGGCACAGACTCACTGAGTCACATATCATAAAACAAACCACAACAATAACACTGCGTTTTAATAGTCCCTTCACTGTTTGACCTTCAAACTTTAAAACTAAAAAAAAAAACATATACCTAAGAGATAAGCTTCCCTACAGGCTCTATAAATGCCACAATTGTCCCTCTGTTACTTATTAACCTCATGCCAGGCCTGGGAGCCAAACACCTTTCCAACCTGAGCTCAGGGAACAGGTTTTAGATTATGAAATGCATCCCCAGCAGAGCTTTGTCCCTGGATCTACAGGACGAGCTCTTCGGTCATGTGCCACCCCCGTAAGCTACTAATGACCAAAACTATAGCTAATGTGTCAGAAGCTAATTAAATTCCACAGGACAACTAGCTCTTTTACTACTCAAAAAAAAAAAAAATCCTGTGAGACAAATATGCAAAGCAGCGTGCCGTGCGGCATGCCACATCGAGAATGTTCTAGAACAACACTACTATTGCAGATGAGGAAACTAAGGATCAAAGAGATACAGCAGCTAAGCAAGTGAAGAATGCATTTAGTCTAGGGCATGGCTGAGGCTGTCGCTCAGCCACTCAGCCGCTCAGCTGGGAGCTTGCACGCCTAGCAATCAATACAAGGCCCCCCGATGGGATCCTGAGCACAGAAGTCAAATCAAAACTGGTCCAGTTGAATCCAGAGCCCCTCTCCTGCTCTTAAGGCACCATTTCATTTGTTTCCCTCACACAACAAAGTAGTAAGAGAGTTAACTAAGGTAACACAACCAGGACTTGAGTCTCACAGTCCCAATTACAAGGTATCCAAAAACAAGCTTTGAGAAAGCAACTTCTACCTAATACAAAAGCCATAAATTATATTTTGGGTAGTGAAGGAAAAGGGACAAGTTGAGACCAGGAGAAAAACAAGCCAAAAGACAGAAAAAAAAAATCCACATCACATACAGTAAATATACATACTCTATGTAGGCCTTAGTATTGATCATAGTTCATCCCTAAGGCCAAACTGCCGTCCAAACACAGGAATCCATCACCCCGGACTATCAGCTGGTGAAATAACTATAACCCAATACACCAAGGAGTATTCTGTGTGCACCACATTCTCAGAATGAAGACACAAAAGAGTTCAGGCAAGATATTCTCCCATTATTTTTTAAAAGATTATTTTGAGGAGTATACAAAAGGACTTTTTTTTTCTCACATTCGCCCCGGTATTGTCTCTTGTTCCACATCCACTTGACTATAAGTATGTGGCTTTTTTTTTTCAGTGCTGGGGGTGGAACTTGGTTCTGTGGGTACTAAGTAAGCATGAACCACGAGGAACATCCCCTTTCTGCAGTTTCATTCTCAGAGAGTAACAATCATCTATGCTGAAATAAAACAAGGACTCTAAAAACAAACAAACAAAAAAGGCTAAAAATGCCTGGCATTTAATTATGCCTTTGAGAAGATAGCATTCAAACCATCCGGGTGCTTTCTTCAAAGTAAATGAATCCTACAGAGAAAACACGTCTCTCTCTTAATTTCAGTATTATGTACACACTCCAAGACAGATTTTATCAATGTTCTTTCCAGTGTTCCAAGCAGCCAGTGAAGGGGAGAAAGATCTAAAGACATGGAGTCTCAAGTCGTCTAAGACACAAGGCCGGTGGTTTCAAGGTAGCAGACTAGAAACTCTGAGAACAAGGTCCCCTCCTAGGGCCTCAGGCTGATTATCAGAGATATCTTTTCTAACGTGGCAGGGAAAACAACTGCTTCCGCTCTTAAGTGATCAGCCAATAAACGCTTATAACTTAATGTTTAATTTTTTTTTAAATGGAGCCACAATTTTTTAGAAAGCCCTAAATGTTTAAAATTTGCTAACGACAGAATAAATACGCTTTGGTTAAAACAGCGCAATTCAAACAGCACAGTGCCCTGCTGTGTGACCCTGTGTGATTCAATTAGCCATTTTCCTAATCTTCCCTCCTCCACACAGGAGGAAGAACACCTGCCTGGGCTAGCTCACAGCAGCAAGGCTGCTGTCAGTTAAGTGGATGCTGTTCCGCCCAGGCCACTCACTTACAGTCCTGCAGCCCCCGGCTCCCCCTCTGGTCCAGCCCCAGATAGCAGCAGCTAGTCCCGGTGCTCAGGGAAGGATGCTCCAATGGCCGCCTTCCCTCGGAGATCGCGGCGACACACGCTCTGACCTGACAGTCACCGTAGCGCCCCTCCACCTTCGACCCGGCCCCGCGCGCCTTCAGCAGTGTCTGCCCCGGGAATCCCCGAGAGTCCCCAAGTGTCCCCGAGCGTCCCCGGTCCCCGACTCACACCCGGGAGCCCCCTTCCTGTCCCCGGGGCGCTGCAGCCCTCCCAGCTAAGTGCCAGGCCCCGCCGCGCCGTGTCTCGCCTCGCCTCTCTCCCCAGGCCAGGTCTCCACAATGTGGTCGCGGGGCTGCAGACTTCTTACCCGGGAGCTTGAGCGCCCTGGACAGCACTGTCGCCATGGCGGAGGACCCCCGTGCGCGTGCGCGCGCCGCGACCTGCCGGGAAGTGTAGTTCGCTGCCGGCCGCGCGTGGGGCAGCGGGCGGGAAAGGTGTGACCTGCCGTGAGCCGGACTAGGAGGAGGTGCCCACTGTCGCAGGTCACTGGCCCGGCGCAGCGCCAGATTGAGTCGCTTGTGCCTCAGCAGCCGGTAAGAGAAGTCATTTCTCCCCCACCCGTGTGCGCAGAGCCTGGAATGAGATTGTAAATAGTTAGGAAGGCACGGGCTGTGAAGTTCGCGTGGGTTTGGAATGGACAAACTGGATTTGAAGCCTGCCTGCGCTATTTACTACCTGGACCATCTTGGAAAGTCACTGAGACTGGGCTTTGTTTGTTTGCCTGTCCTTTCTGTCTGTAAGTCTGTCCATCTGTTTTGGAGACAAGAGTCTCAATGGAAACTGGCTTTGTAGGTGAGGGTGACCTTGAACTCCTGATCCTTCTGCTACCACTTCCAAGCACCAGATTTACTTGTTTGTTAAACTTATTTATGTATGGCTTAGTATGGTTGGGTTTGCCTTTCTGAGGCAGACAGATCTCTGAGTTTGAGGCCAACCTGGTCTACATAGAGTTCCAAGCCAGCCAGGACTGTATAATGAGACCCTGTTTACATACATACATACATACATACACACACACACATACATACTTGCACACATACATACATAGATGTATTCATTAGTTCGTTTACTCATTTATAGGTTTTATCTGTTTATTTATATGTTGAGATCATGTAGTACACACTGACATCGTATTGGCTAAATAGTTGAAACTGGCCTGGAGCTCCTAACCCCCCAGCCTTCAGTGTGTAAGTTCTGGAATTACAGACATGCAACACCACACCTGGCCAGCTCTGTTGAAATGAAAATGATGCTATCTCCTTGTTGCTTAGAGAATTAAGTGACACCATCCTTTTAAAGCACACAGCTCCTGTGACTCTTTTCCCCATCCTAAGTGCAGACTGCGGTGTGCTGAGGCTCTGACACAGGTTTCCTGATCTCAGTTCTTTCCAGGTATCTGTTTACACGCCAATTGCTGCTCCTGGCTTGCAAGGTCCAGCAAACAGGAGCTGACTGGTTTCTCACTCACAGGCACCAAGAGCTCGGCATTTTAGTGAAGAAATACTGAAAACATTAGCTTGACCCTGGAGCTTCTTAATTATCATGTCTTCCCACCATCTGCTTAATGCTGATAAACCACTCCTGTTCCAAAAGAGCAGTTCTGATACTCAACTGTAAACGAGCAAAGCACTTAGCATCCGAAACTAATGTTTCACCAGTAACCTAGTGTCCTTCTGGTTGATGTCTTATTGTTGATACTTGAGACAGAGTCACACTATGTAAACCAGGCTGACCTGGAACTCCCAGAAGTCTGCCTGCCTCTTCCTCCTCAGTTCTGAGATTACAGACATGTACCAGAGCACCTGGCTAATTAACGTTTTGACTTTTAATTTACTAAGTAATAAAATTGTAAATTTGGGGGCTAGAGAGAAGGCTCAGTGGTTAAGAGCACTGGCTGTTCTTCCAGAGGCCCCAAGTTCAATTCCTAGCACCCACATGGCTGCTCACAACCATCTGTAACTCCGCCAATGCCCTTTCTGTCTCCCTTGGGTACCAGGCACACACATGGCACACAGATAACCATGTAGGAAAAACACCCATACACATAAAAATAAATAAAACTTTTTAAATAAAAGAAAAGGAGTGAGCCATCATATGTCACAATTAATATTAACACTAATGATAATTTAAATGGCTTAGTGATTTAAGTGTTAATTCTTCTTTAACATTTATCTTGTCTATGTGCATTTATTTATTTGGTATATGTATGTATGTGAGTCTGAGTATATGCCTACTTTTGAAAACCCACTCTCTTCTCCCACTGTGTGGGTGTCAGGAATTGAACTCAGGTAGTCAGTCAGTGCTGGCCCCAAACACCATCAAGCCATGTCACCGACCCCTTATGTGCTAATGCTTTCAGTGTTCTATAATTATTGAAATGTTTACTGTCTTCTATCTTCTCTGCATATGCTTAAAAGCCATATTTTATATCACTATAGGTCATCAAAGAAAAGAAACAAGTCACAACAAGCTGGCAGCTGCTTGCCTGGTATCAGATTTAGTCATTAGAACACATTCAGAGATGTGAAGAAATCAGGCCCTGGAGTATGAGAAGGACATAGATGGTCAGGACCTTGAGCATCCAGGACAGGGAGGTGACCCAGAACAGCCAGGTTACACGGGGTAGAGAAATGAGAAAAGCCCATGCACTCTCCATAGTGAAAAGATAAAAGAATGTCCCTGCCCATGTAATCCAAATGAAATGAAATCATGCACATTACAGTTTGAAAACTTTGCAACTGGGCATGGTGACACACCTGTAAAGTCGGTACTCAGGAGGCTGTGGCAGCTTGGAGATCCAGTTCAGTGAGTCTGAGTATATGCGGGTTGTGTAAGGAGATACTATCTCAGTTAAAACCAAACCAAACAAGGATCCTGGGAGATGGTTTGGTGGTGAAGTGCTTGTTGGACAAGCATGACAACCCAAGTTCAGATCCTCAGCACCCCATAAAAGCTAGGCACGATCGTATGTTCCTGTAGTCCCAGCACTCGGATGGAGGACAGGAGAATCTGGGGTTCTCTGCCTAGCCTGATTAACAGAAACATTGAATTTCAGATTCAGCGAGAGTGCTGGTTGTTTTTTATCAACTTGTCTGAGCTCGACTCATCTGGGAAGAGGAGCCTCGATTGAGAAAATGTCGTCATCGGGGTGGCCTGTGGGCAAGCCTCTAGGGCATTTTATTGAGTGATGACTGGCGTGAGAGCCCATTGTGGGCGGTGACACCCCATCACGTGATCCTGGGCTGTATGATAAAGCTGGCTAAGAGAGCCCTGGAGAGCAAGACTCCCTCGGTGATGAAACTAACATAAATTGGTTTGTTCAAAGTGTTTTATCACACCAATAAAAAGCAAACTAAGAGCACGTCTCAAAAAAAAAAAAAAAAAAAAGAGGAGGAGAGTCATAGAGGAAGATACACCAAAACAATCTCTGGACTCCACGTGTGTAGTCATACACACACACACGCACATGTATACACCACACATCAAAAAATAAGTTTAGAACTTTGCTTTAAGCGATATGGTTATTCTAAGTGCCCCTTGGCACACCGACACACATGTACACACCCAATGGATACCCCCTAATCTGTGTGACATTTCTACTCTCCTCTTCAGCAGCCCAGCTTTGCAAAGAGATTTCCAGAGGTGAGCAGATGCCACAGCTCCCTGGCTTTTATCAGTTTGTTTGCCTCGTTCCCTCAGACATCTCCTTCTTGTCCTATTTTCCCGGTGTGAGTATAAGAATTACAGCTCAGGATCACATCTCTCAAACTTAACCTGCCTTCCTTTTTTATTTTTTTCCAATTTATTTTAGGATTTCTTTTTGGGAGGAGGAGTCTTCCGGGGACAGTCTAATTCTAATCCGGGCTGGCTTGGAATTCACTGAGTTTGAGGAACATGGGTCAACCCTCCTGCCTCTGCTTCCTGGCTTTCCTCTCAATTTAAAGAAAAAAAGAAACAAAAAAAAAACTCAAAGCAGTCAGTAAAGGTATCAGGATCCTTGCCTCTGCCACAGAGAGCACCTGTGAGTGTCTCTCTCGTTAGCAGTAGACTGAATATCTTGGGTGCCAAAACACCCACAGAGGTCATTATAGAAAGTACAGATTCCCCAGGACTCTCTGGCTTCCAAACTTGGCTTGTCTCCCAGGAAAGTCAAGGAAAGGTGACTGGAGAGGTGACCCGAAACAGCCAGTCACGCCTGACAGCTGTGCCTTCTCTGAATAGAAAATATTGTTCTAAAAATCACAACTGAAGCCGCATTGATCCCAAGTGGGCAGACATCTCAATCACTGACAGAAGGAACCTGTTAGGGGATGGTCTGACTCTACTATGTATTCAAATGCTAAATTGTGTAGCCCAGGACAACCAGATTCCCAGTACACAAGCTGTTGTTGTGCAAACCTTGCTCCCCAGTTTAAAATATGGGTTAAATAAAGGTGACTATAGCCAATTATTGGAGGGGAGAGAGGTAAGCGGGTTTTCAGTTATCTAGTGGGTAGAGACCTTGAGATAAAGGAGAGAGGGAGGGAGGGAGAGAGGGAGGGAGGGAGGGAGGGAGGGAGGGAGGGAGGAGAGAGAAAGAGGAAGAGAGTTGGTGACAGAGAAGAGAGGAAGAGGAAGGGTGATGGAGGAGGAAGATAGACAGAACAGGAGGTCTCCGTTAGATACTATGGACCAGGTGCACATGCCCAAGTGAAATGGCCCCAGGCTGGTGAAGCAGGAATAACCCAAGAAGACATGGACAGCCAGTACTTGGGGAACTCAACTAGGAAGTAGCCACTCTAGCCCTTAGAGCATTAGACTAGGAGTAATCCCCCAGTAATTACACAAAAGCTAAGTAAATAAGTCACAGTCTGAGTCCCATTCATTTGGAAGCTAGACAGGGATAGGTATAATTCAATTATTTTACAGGAACCTACATGTGTCACCTCTTGCTGTCTTTGTGACACACCTGTCACTGATTTAAATCTCTTGAGTATCCTGAACAAAGGAAGGTCAGATCATGTTCTCTAATGCTTCTTATTCTGTGGACACCATAGACACTTCTGTTGGTCCTGACCAGCCTCCGAGTGGGGTTCCTGCGCTTCCTCTGGGATCCAGGACCCCTGAGTCCACCAGCAGCTGTCACCCATTGCTCTCGGTACACTGGGGCTGCCAGGCTCTCCTCTCAGGGGTTAGCGCTGTGAAATTGTAGAAGTCCTGAAGTACAGTGGAAAGTGGAGAACACTGACTCCCTCTTCCTACGTTACATTTATGATGAAACTGCATGCACCGTTCTGTCTATCCTTCAAGGTCAAACAGAGTACTTTCACCAGCCCTTTCCAATTTCAGTGGGTGAGCCAACCAGGCGCGAGCAATTGCCGTAACAAACGACCTCAATATTTCAGTGATGTTAGAGAATACAGATTCATTGCTAGTTA